TTCCATTTTTTATTTCACTCTTTATTGCATAGTCCATGTCCCTTCTTAATATACTGACTTCATTTATTTCTTTATTAATTTATATACTTTTCTGTATCACAGATATTTGTTAATATTATTGTATCTCATTTTTCTTGACAGAATTTTGTTCCCATTGTGGCTGGATGTTTGTTAGAGAGAGATTATGATCTCATTGGTCAGTTATATTACAAAGATTGCCATAGCATTGATCAGTGGAGAAAAGGCTGGTTTGCTATAGAAAAGTCAAGTCTGCATTTTTGTCTGGAAATGGAGAATGCTCAGGAGGATTCAATATATCTGAGAAGACTACAAGAGCTAAGTAAGCATTTGCAAAATGCTTAGATTAGTTCTAAAACAAACTGTGCAACTCATTTAAACCCTGTTTTGAAAGTATGTGTATGAAATTAAAATCATGGTTGTTCACCATGGTGGTTTGCATACATTTGTCAAATGCCATCCCTCTCTATTCTGTATACTGTTTTATACATCATACATAAATTTCAGTTTCTGTGTTATAGTGGTTGCTTAAATTAGAGCTATCTTCAGAGTTTCTTGATAAGCTCATAAGAATATATAAGAATGTAACTGCTGTTTAACTGGGTTAGACCACAGGCTCATCTATCCCAATATCCTGTCTCTTGAAGTGGCAGAGAATGGTCGCTGAGAGGGAGAGTAAACAGAGCATGTCTGGAATTTTCTGCACACCACTTCTCTCCCATTACAGTTTCCACAATTTCAGAGGTTTGGGAAGTTTTGATTCAGAGGCTGCACCAGTACATAGCATATTCAATCCCTACTGATGGACATATCCTCTGAGAATTTCTCTAAAACCCTTTTTGACTGGGTTAAACTGAAAATACGCACAACATTTTGTGTCAGTGTGTTCCTTCCACAAGTTACTTATATGCATGAAACTTATTTTGTATGAAAAAGAGCTTCCTTTAGTTAGTTTTAAACTCAATACCTTAACAGTTTTATTTTATGTCCCCTAGCTCTAGAAGTATGAGAGAGTAAATTAATCCCTATTTATTTTCTCTGTACCATTTAATATTTTGTACAACTCTGTTGCATTCCAGCTTGTGTCTTTTTCTATTTCCAAAGCTGAAAAGTCCTAGCTTTTTTAGTCTCTCTTCATATGGATGCCTTCCGATGCCCCTAATCATCTTTGCACTTCTTTGTACCTTTTCTAGTTCTATATCCTTTTTGAGGTGTGGGGACCAAATTTGTACATAGTATTCAAGTTGTCAACACACCATAGATTTGTAAAAGGTTGTAGGAATACATTTTTTTAATTTTCAGTTCCCTTCATAATAAGTCCTTGTACTTTGTTATAGCCTTTTTGACTGGTTATGAACACTGAGCTGAGTCTTAATGAACCATCCACAGCAATTCCAACATTTTTTCCTGTGTGGTTGAACCAATCCTTGCATATGCATATGTTGGGGTTTGTTTTTTTTTCAGGTATATTACATTACACTTATCAGTACTGAAATTCATCTGCCATTTTATTTCCATTTACTCAATTTTGTGAGATCCTTCTCTAGTTCTTAACATTTTACCTTGGTCTTTGCCACTTTGAAGAAGCATTTGGCATCATCTGCAAACTTATCCACTGCAATGATGACTACCTCCTTCCCCTTTCCAGGTCATTTATAAATATAGTAAACAGTACTGATTCCAGTACCTCTCAGGGACCCCACTGTCTACTTCTTTCTTTTCTGATGACTGATCATTTATAGCAACTCTTTGTTTTCTGTCCTTAAGCCAATTTCTAATCCACAAATGGACCTGCCCTCTAGTCCGTGACAGCCCGGTTTCATTTAGAGACTTTCAATGCCTTTTTGGAAGTCCAGATACACTGTGTCAGCTGGACCACTCTGATCCACTTGTCACTGACCTACTCAAAGGACCCGAATAGTTTGAGGCGTGACCTCCTTTTAGTCATGTTAATTTCTCCCCATCAAGTACTGCTCAGTAAGGAAAGTCTGTTCAGGTTATAGTGCTTTCTTTTGTACAAGAGTATAGGATCATAGAACAATATGCGACTCCTTGGGTCTGTTGTCTTTTCTTCTTGATGAAATAGAAATGTTCCCTACATTGTGCAATCCTGAGATGATTGACTAGTCTAATTTTAAGTTACTAAAATTTACTGGAAAACTAAAATCCCATTGGAAAACTATTTCACAGGACAATATCTTTTTTTCCTATTTTTTCCTGTATCAAACTCTCCTTCCATCAATAATAATTTTTTCAGTATGTTACTTGCACTTAATAACTCAGTGGGGGTAATTAGTTCTCATAGTTTGTAGGGTTGGAAGGGACCTGAGCAGAACATCGAGTCTGACCCCCTGCCA